CCATTTTATTTCTCCGCTCTGTTCCTCACCCCCAACACACACCACCCGGACCCATCCCGCCACACCAGCCCGCAGAAGCTGGCCTGTGGCTGGGGCCCTGGGGTGGGGGCGGGCCTCAGGCGCCCCAGCTGCTTCCTGCCGGTTGGCCCTCAGAGTGTCTCCCTGGGACTGAGGCCGGCTCCAGAACGCCGGCCTGCCGGTTGGCTGGATGGTGCCAGCTGCAGCGCTGTGTCTCTGGGAGGACCAGGAGGTAGCAAGGAGCCTCAGGGAGAGGGGGTCCAGGGCTCCCTTGAGCCCAGAAAGCACTCTGGGACCCTGCTTTCTGAAGAGGCTCAGCAGCCACGGCCTCCGTGGCCAGATCCTGTGCTTGGCTTGCAGCTGATGCACCCGTAGCACCCGGCACTCTGGACCCTTCTCTCCTTCAGCCCTGCCAGCTTCCCCATCACAGCCATCCAGGAGGGAGGACCGGACCCACATGGCAGCCAGCTGTGCCACTGCCCTGATGACCACCGTGCTGGAGGGTCACTGGCTCCGGCTCAGACCAGGCTGCAGAGCCAGCCAGGCAGCAATTTAACCTGCGCCAGGGATCTGATGGCTCCCAGCCTGCCCTGGCGGGCAGGCCTGGGCCCGGCACCTGGCAGGTCTCGACCGCTGGGTCCTGAATCAGCAAACAAGTGCAACCAGGAAGGAGTGAATAAGCATGCAGTCACGGCCACCCTGCACTGGGCCCCCTCCGTGGTCACACTGACGGTCTTGCAGTCACAAGACCTGGGGCCTCCCGGTGCGCACAGACACACTCAGGGGGTTTTTGAGTGCGGCTTCACGGTCACGGTCACTGACCCAGCAAGTGGTCCAGGTGACAGCACACCCCTGACTTGAGGACGCAGAGCCTCCCACCCTCGGGGCCCTGAAGTGGGGCGACACCCGGTAGGCAGAGGGCGCAGGGCCACAGGACTTTCCAGGCCCACGACGGTTCTCATCTGAATCTCTTAATAGAATAAAAAATATATAAATGATGAGTATGTGATGGGTACGGCCTGGATTTCATTTGTTTTTATGCCAACATAGTTGTAAAATATACTTTAAAATATTTTTTATTCAATCCCCAGTCAGGGCACAGACAAGAATCAAATCAATGAATGCCCAAATAAGTGAAACAGCAAATTAATGTTTCTCTTTCTCTTTCCTTTCCTCTCTAAAATCAACAAGTACAATTTAAAAACAATATTTTTCCGAGGAAGAGTCCCACCCACAAAGGCAAACATGCCCAGGGCCCCCAAAGGTCATAGTGCAGCCAAGTGGGGCCAGCGCACTCCCTGGATGTCAGTCCCGAGACACCCAGATTTCAGTGCCACAGACAGGCCTGCCCAGCGGGCAGCCACCCAGACGGCTCCCCCACCCCACCCCCAAGTACAGCCACAAGCCCTGCCTCAGTGCTCACAGTGTGGGAGGGGTCACTTCCGGCCCAGGCCCCACCCCCTTCCAAGCGCCCTTTGCTAGGGGTGCCGAGGTGACTCTGATGCCTGGCCCAGCCCTCCAGCGCGGGGCCCAACCCTCAGCCCGCCCCCAGACTGGGTGGGGTGACCCCCTACAAAAAAAGCTCTGACTTACAGGCAGCAGCTTCTTCCTCCTAGAAACTGGTGCAGCTGGGGCCAGAGTTGAGGAACAAGGAATCTTGCTGAGCCCTCACCCTGGGGTCAGGGAGTTTGGAGGGTAAGGCTCTGCAGCCCTGAGGTCAGCAGGGCAGACTGGCGGGTGTACAGGAGGGCTGGGCTGACTTGTCCTTGGTCACTGAGCATCCCCTCCTCCCGTGGCTGGCCAGGGTTCCTGGGAGAAGAGACAGGAAAGGCCCCCTATCAGTCAGATCAGCCTGGGAGCCAGGGCCTCGCTGCCATTCCTCTCAAAACAGATGCCATGGCTTCTGTGGCCCTGGGGGAAGTGGGTGGGTGAGCCCAGGCCAGGGCAAGGCCGGTGGGACACAGGGCAAAGGCCTAGCCCAAGAAGCACCCCGACGTGCCCTCCAGGGACGGTGCTCCCTTCCATGCCTCTCCTTCGCCCCCTGGCCTCCCTGAGCCCTGCCAGGCGGTGCTTACCTGAAGCCAGAGCCGGGGTGGATTAACAGGCAGGGGTCAGAGGGTTCAAGGCCCGCACTGAGCCCTGCCTCCCCTGGCCATCTTTCCCCAGACCTGCCCTGTGCCATGGCAGGCCACCTTCTCCCCATCTGCACCCTCTTCCTGGCCTCGCTCGGCACGGCCCCAGGCGCCGGGGGCCCCGTGGTGCCCAACCAGCCCTTCACCACCGTCTGGAATGCAAACACCCAGTGGTGCCTGGAGACACACGGCGTGGACGTGGACGTCAGTGTCTTCGACGTGGTGGCCAACCCAGGGCAGACCTTCCTCGGGCCGGACGTGACCATTTTCTACAGCTCCCAGCTGGGCACCTACCCCTACTACACGTCTGCCGGGCAGCCAGTGTTCGGAGGCCTGCCCCAGAACGCCAGCCTGGACGCCCACCTGGCCCGCACGTACGGGGACATCCTGGCTGCCATGCCTGCGTCCGACTTCTCGGGGCTAGCCGTCATTGACTGGGAGGCCTGGCGCCCGCGCTGGGCCTTCAACTGGGACGCCAAGGACATTTACCGGCAGCGCTCACGGGAACTAGTGCAGGGGCAGCACCCCGACTGGCCGGCGCCTTGGGTGGAGGCGGCAGCCCAGGACCAGTTCCAGAGGGCTGCGCAGGCCTGGATGGTGGGCACCCTCAAACTGGGGCGGGCGCTGCGGCCTCGAGGCCTCTGGGGCTTCTACGGCTTCCCCGACTGCTACAACTACGACTTCCTAAGCCCCAACTACACAGGCGAGTGCCCGCCGGGGGTCCGCGCCCAGAACGACCAGCTGGGGTGGCTGTGGGGCCAGAGCCGTGCCCTCTACCCCAGCATCTACATCCCTGCGGTGCTGGAGGGCACAGGGAAGGCAGAGACGTATGTGCGGCACCGAGTGGGCGAGGCGTTCCGTGTGGCGGTGGGCGCCGGGGACCGCGGTCTGCCGGTGCTGCCCTACGCCCAGATCTTCTATGACTTGACCAACCGCTTTCTGCCGCTGGTGAGTCTCCTTCTGCGACCCCGCCCACCTTGTAGCCTGCCTCACTAGGCATTAGTTCCAGCAGCTGATGCCCCAGAGCCTCCTGGCACTTTCACCCGCTCGTGGGAACACCCATCGTGTGCCAAGGTCTGTGCTAGGCACAGGCTAGTCAGCATCCGCCAGAAGGATGCAGTGCCCGCCTGCGTGGTACACACAGGCTGGAGTGGGGATAGGCTGGCCTCTGGCCACCAAGGCCAGAGCTGCCCCAGGTGGGAATCATGAATTATCGATCTCATCCAGTGGTGTTATAGCAACCAACTGTGCGGAGAGCGGGAGAACCCACAGAGCTCTGCTGTCCCTTTCCCCAGGACGAGCTGGAGCACAGCCTGGGCGAGAGTGCAGCCCAGGGAGCAGCAGGAGTGGTGCTCTGGGTGAGCTGGGAGAACACAAAAACCAAGGTGAGCTCAGGCCCAGGGTGGGGGGTGGAGCAGAGGTAGGCCGGGGAGACCCTGGCCCATCCTTTCTGCCCCTGCAGTCCTGGCTGGCCAGCAGGTGAGGGCCTCGATGCCCTGGGTGGGCCCGCGCGTGGCCACAGTGTCCCTGACACTCCCCCTCCTCCCCAGGAGTCATGCCAGGCCATCAAGGAGTACATGGACACCACACTGGGGCCCTTCATCCTGAACGTGACCAGTGGGGCGCGTTTCTGCAGTCAAGCCCTGTGCTCGGGCCACGGCCGCTGTGCCCGGCACCCCAGCCATCCCGAGGCCCTCCTCATCCTCAACCCCACCAGCTTCTCCATTGAACTCGAGCCTGGTGGCGGGCCCCTGACCCTGCGAGGTGCCCTGTCACGTGAGGATAGGGAACGGATGGCAGTGGAATTCCAGTGTCACTGCTACCCTGGCTGGAGGGGAGCAAGGTGTGAGCAGCAGGGCACGTGGTGACTGGCCACACACCAGGACGCACACACTGAGCACCCCCAGTGCACTCTGGGCCTGGCCAAGGCTTTCTCAAGTGTAGGCACAGCTGCACAAGTCACGGTCACAGTGCCGAGTACACTCAGCCGCCGTCAGGAGCATGTGCCTGCATATGCACGCGTGGTTACAGACAGGTAGTTGCATAAGGAGTTCGAGTCTCTGTTCCCCACCCAGCAGGGTCAAAAGCATCACCCCCAGTGACACCGGCTGAGCCGGTCTCTAAACTGCAGCACTCGCAAGAACTGACATTCTCTGAGCGCCCGCTCTTCACCAAGTCCTGTGCTGAGTAGGCATTTTAAGTAGACTAACTCATCCGGTCCTAACGCGACTCTATGAGGACACTGAGCAACACACAGGGAGGGAGAGCCCTTTGCCAATAGTTGCACAGCCAGACAATGGAGAAGCGAGATTCGAACCCAGGCTGTCTGGCTGTAGCGGTAGAGCCCTTCGGCTCCTACTGTGTTGATGGTAACCAGCCCTGCACGCAACGTGAATCCGCTCAGAGGCACCAGCCGCGTAAATAAAGCAGACATGATTCTTACTTCGAAGAGCTGTTTATTGAGCGCCTAAAACGTGCAGGCTCCGGGATCCAGAGGGCACAGGAAAGACTCCTCTCTATCAAATCTGACGTCTGTCCGAGGACGGCTGCTTCCCAGGGTGGAGCCCAAAGCTCAGGAGGAAGCTCCACCTGGCCTTTTCCGCGCTTGGCGGAGGCGGGAGGCCAGCGGGAGCTGAGACGAAGGGGCGCGGGGGCGAGGTCCGTCCGAGCCCAGGGCGAGGCGGAAACCGAGCCAGCTGGAAAAAGGCCCTGCGCCCGGCCCAGGCTGTGGCCCGCTGCCCGCGGGCAGGGGCTCGGGGAGCCGCACTGGGGCGGGGCCTAAGCGGTGACGCCGGGAACCGGTGACTGGGCCTCTACGGGAAGGGGCGGAGCCAACGGAGAGTCCGAGCAATGACGCACAAGGAACAGGGCGGGGCTCAGGACCCGCGAGCGGGGCAGAGGTGGGGCCGTGGCGGAGGCGGAGCCTGCGTCGGGTCAGTGTTCAGTCGCGCGGGCCGCGGGGCGGGGCCTGGCCGCGCTGACCGGGCCTGGCCTTCCTGGGAGACTGACCGAGCAGTGCGTCCGGAACCGCGGCGGCTTCAGTGCGTCCGCCGCACCGCTAGGGGGCAGCGCAGACTGACGGAGGACTCCGAGCCAGAGGGAGCGAGATTCGGATCTGCGCGGAGCCTGCACCCCGAGCATCCTGGAGCCCAGCTTCAACATGTCAGTACCGCCCCCTCCCCAAGCGCGCCGTGTCGGTCCTTCTTGTCCCCCGTGCTCTGTCCTCCCCGCACGCTCTCCCTGTGTCTGTGGTTCCCTCCCAGAGCATGCCGAGACACACCCACCCAGAGTCAAGTTCCCAAAGCCCCCTACCCCCAAAAGTCCACGGTTTATGGCCCACTAGGAGGGAGGGAGAAACCGAGGCACAGGAGGAACAGTGTCGCCTGTCTCTGACAGTCCAGGAACCCCGCCCACAGTGGGTTGGGTCGGGACTGAAGGGGTTAAACCCGCAGGGAAGCCTGGGGTTTCTGACCTCGGGGCAGAACCTGGGGCTTCCTCTCTCCTGGTGCTGCTGCTGCAGAGGTGGCAGATTGCAGGTGAGGGGCTTACAGCCTTCTAAGTGGAATGTGGCGTGAGGGGAGGGGGCTGCCTGCTACTGACCAGCATGAAATTGGCCTCAAGCTCTGGGGTCCTTCTTGGGGCGGTGGGGAAGGGGAGCCAGGACTCTTCCTCTGGTGAGAAGGTGAGTAGAAGGGTGAGCCTCAGCGCCTCCCCCACCCCCCACTGCCAGAAAATCCCCCAGCACAGACCCCCCTGCCCGCAGGGCTTGGAGCAGCATGGGCAAAGAATGGGGTTTGAGTGCAGGAGGTCTGGGCCCCCAACCTGGTGGCCGTTGGATCCCCTGTGGATGCAGGAAGGAAGCTGTGGTCCTTATCTATGGTGGCTGTGAAACTCAGGCCAGGGGGGAACCAGGCCTGCAGGACTGGCACTGCCGTGTTAGTGCTGCTGGGGCCCTGTCGGAAGGGACAGTTGGGTCTGTGCCCAATTGGCTAAATGTCCTGAGACGAGGGGAGGTGTGATGATGGAAACAGAGGTTGGAGTGATGCCATTGCTGGCTTTGAAGAGGGAGAGGGGCCCACGAGCCAAAGAAAACAGGTGGTTTCTAGAAGCTGGAGAAAAGGCAAGGAAATGGGTTTTTGCCCAGAGCCCCCTGAAGGACCAGCCCTGCAAAACCTTGATTTCAGCCCAGTGAGACTCACTTCAAATTGCTGTCCTCCCGAACTATTAAGATTATAAATTTGTTATTGTAAGCACAAGAAAAAGTGCTGTAGCGAGGGGGCCATGGGCTGTGTGTCCCAGGCAGGGGAGATGGTCCAGGGAGGTCAAAACAGCCTGTTGAGTGGGCGAGTGGCGCCCCAGGATCAGTTAAGTGGTGGGCATAGCCCACGTGGTTAAAAAGGATCACCTGGAATTTAGGAACGGGAGGGATAGAGGAGCTCCTGGGAACAGCTGTGTTGCCTCCAGAGCCTCGGTTGGGTTTAAGCAGGGATCACTGTGTCTGGTTCGCATGTTCTGTGATGGCCATCCAGCTGTGACGGTGCGGGACTGGGTCGCCTGTCCTGGGGAGGACACATCTGGGGCCAGAGCAGGCTGGGGCCAGAGCTTTTGGGTTCTGCCCCAGCCTTTAGCCCTCAGCCTCCATCCATTGTGGGGAGGACGCCCTGGACCCACTGGATGGAGCTGATCCTGAGTACCAGCCCAGCTGAGCTCACTCTGGACCCTGCCTGCCAGCTAGAGCTGACCCTGAGCTCCAACCTGGCCAAGCTGACCCAGGATCCTGCACACCAGCCAGAGCTGACCCTGAGCCCCAGGCTAGCTGAGCTGACCCCGGGTCCTGCATGCCATCCAGAGATGACCCTCAGTCGTGGCTCGACTGAGCTGACCTTGGATCCCGCACTCCAGCCAGAGGAGACCCCCGCCCCCAGCCTGGCTGAGCTGACCCTGGAGCCTGTGCATCGCCGACCTGAGCTCCTGGATGCCTGTGCCGACCTCATCAATGAGCAGTGGCCCCGCAGCCACGCCTCCCGCTTGCACTCCTTGGGCCAGTCCTCAGACAACTTCCCCCTCTGCCTCATGCTGCTGAGTCCCCACCCTGTGCCAGGGAAGGCTCCCATCGTGGTGGGGCATGCCCGCCTGTCGCGGGTGCTAGACCGGCCCCAGAGCCTCCTGGTGGAGACCGTGGTGGTGGCCCGGGCCCTGAGGGGCCGTGGCTTTGGCCGCTGCCTCATGGAGGGCCTCGAGGTCTTTGCTCAGGCCCGGGGCTTCCACCGGTTACACCTCACCACCCATGACCAGCTGCACTTCTATGCCCACCTTGGCTACCGGCTGGGTGAGCCTGTCCAGGGCCTGGTCTTCACCAGCCAACGGCTGCCCGCTGCTCTGCTCAGTGCCTTCCCCAGGGCCCCTTCCCCATGGCCACCCTCCAAGACCCCTAGCCTGACTGCCCAAGCTGCCTCAAGAGCCCCCAGAGGGCCATCATTGCCGCCACCCCCTCCGCTGCCTAAGCCCTTGACCGCCTCACCGCCCGCTCCACAAAGCCTGCTAGAGACACAGTACCACGACCTGAGAGGACGGCCCATATATTGGATGCAGAAGGATATCTGAGGGCCGTCTAGGGCAAGGCACTGTCTTTCTGGTTCAGTGGACTCCCCAAGACAGTCCCAGCCTCAGCCCCTGGCCCCGGGGCGCAGCTCTAGCTCGGCCGGGTCTCCCGGGTGCCAGTGGGGCCGGACGAGGACGGCTCCCTCCCTGGCTGTGGCTCTGAGCTGTCTGTGCGGCTGAATAAAGGCTTCTTTTGGGTGTGGCTACGACAGTTTATTTGCTGACTCCCACCCTTGCCTCCCAGCCTCATCTGAGGTCCCCTGTCCCTGCAGGAGCCCCCCGATCCACCTTGGCTCTGGGGCCATGGATGGCAGGACACCTGCCTTTTGCCCTAACCACTCTGCCAGGCCCAGGAGAATGGGTGTCTGTTCTCTTCCTCATTCGCTCACTACTCACACCCACCATTCCATGAGTACCTTCTGTGCGTCAGGCCCTGCACTGGGCACAAGCAACGGGGAACAAATGAGACAGACAAACAGACAGACAGGATGCTGACCCGGGGGATGGGTAGAGAGGGCGATGGATGGGAATGCCACGGCAGGGTCCGTGCCGGGACTGGGAGCCCCAGCGCCCTCTGCCTGGAGATCTGGAGATCCCGGAGGCCTCCCAGGGGAGGGGACGTCACCGCGGAGAGTGCTGAGGAGGCAGGGAGGGGGCTGAGTACTCTTGGGGTGGGGAAGAAGGTGGGCAGAGGAAAGAAGGGGACTTGCGGAAGCTGTGGGTGGGGGAGGTGTCCGAGCTGAAAGTTGAGGGAGGGGAGCGGCCTAGGCCGGCTTAGGGTGTGGATGCTCGGAGAGGACTCTGGGACCCCTGGGGACCGTGCTTGCCCCACCCCCTTGCGGGCAGGAACTGGGGAGGTTTGCCCAGCTGTCCCTGCTGTGTGGAAGGTAGGCCCTGGTCTCTAAGCTCACACCCTCTCTCCCGCAGGTTTCCATTCCTGGGGCGTGACCATGCAGCTAGGCACGGCCCTGGTGCTGGGGGCAGTCCTGTGCCTGGGGTGTGGCCACCCCCTACTGCGGGCCCCCGCCCGCCCATTCTCCGTGCTGTGGAACGTGCCCTCAGCACGCTGTGGAGCCCGCTTCGGCGTGCACCTGCCACTGGAGGCCCTGGGCCTCACAGCCAACCGTGCCCAGCGTTTCCACGGCCAGAACATCACCATCTTCTACAAAAAACAGCTGGGCTTCTACCCCTACTTTGGGCGCAGGGGCACAGCTCACAACGGAGGCATCCCTCAAGCGGTGCCCCTTGACCACCACCTGGCACGGGCTGCCTACCAGATCCGCCGCAGCCTGGGAACTGGCTTCGCTGGCCTGGCGGTGCTGGACTGGGAAGAATGGTCCCCACTCTGGGCCGGGAACTGGGGCCGCCACCGAGCCTATCAGGATGCCTCCTGGGCTTGGGCACAGCGGGTGTTCCCCCACCTGGACCCCCAGGAGCAGCTGCGCAAGGCCCGAACTGGCTTTGAACAGGCGGCCCGGGCCCTGATGGAGGGCACTCTGCGGCTGGGCCGGGCGCTGCGGCCCCGCGGGCTCTGGGGTTTCTACCGCTTCCCGGCCTGCGGCAACGGCTGGCACGGTGCGGGTTCCAATTACACGGGCCACTGCCACTCGGCCACCCGTGCCCGCAACACCCAGCTGCGCTGGCTCTGGGCTGCCTCCAGCGCCCTCTTCCCCAGCATCTACCTCCCGCCCAGGCTGCCGCCCACTCACCGCCAGGCGTTCGTCCGCCACCGCCTGGAGGAGGCCTTCCGAGTGGCCCGCGCCGGGCACCCACAGCCCCTGCCTGTCCTGGCCTACGCCCGCCTCACGTCCCGGAGCTCTGGCAGGTTCCTGTCCCAGGTGAGGGGAGGCATGGCCCTGGCCTAGGGAGGTCTGAGGGGACGACCTCGCCCCCGGGACCTGATGGGGAGGCCCTCGTCTACGTCTGAGGGGAGCCGGTCCGATCCTGCAGCATCCGACATGGTGCGGCTCTGCGCTGGAACCCTGGAAGATCTCGGGGAAGGCGAGGCTTGGCCTTTGGCGCCCCAATCCCAGGGGAGGCGTCCTCTGAGTGGAGGACCTAAGGAGCCACTCAGGGGCTCAGTGCCACAGGGCGTTCCTGCAGAGGTGAAATCAGGTCGTGGCAATGAGCCAGGGAAGTTTCTGGAAGGTAGAGATAGGCCCAGAGGGATCCGGCCAGCTCAGCCCTGGCTCAGCAGCTCTCTGCCCCCAGGATGACCTCGTGCAGACCGTCGGCGTCAGCGCAGCACTGGGGGCCGCCGGCGTGGTGCTCTGGGGAAACCTGGGCATCTCCAGCTCTGAGGTGATTACGGCCCCCTCCGGCCAGCCACGCAGCCCATGGTGGGCGTCCCAGGGTAGGGGAGTGGCCACGTCAGGGCCACGGAGCAAGCACACTGAAACATCCCTCCCTTTTCCTCACTCAGGAGAAGTGCTGGCATCTTCGTGACTACCTGGTGGGCACCCTGGGCCCCTATGTGATTAATGTGACCAGGGCGGCCACAGCCTGCAGTCACCAGAGGTGCCATGGCCATGGGCGCTGTGTCTGGGGAGATCCAGGACAGCTGGAAGCCTTTCTACACCTGCGGCCAGATGGCAGCCCTGGAGCTTGGGAGTCCTTCCGCTGCCGGTGCTACTGGGGCTGGGCAGGCCCCACCTGTCAAGAGCCCAGGCCTAAACCCGGGCCTGAAGAAACAGCATGAAGCCAGGACACCTGCCGCCGCCCTCTGGCCCCTGCTGCCTTTCCCAGTCCTTGAGGGCTCTGTCCCACTCCGTGCTCTTCAGCTTAGCCAGTCCTCCCACCCACACACCCTGCTCCCCACGGGTCCCTGGGGAGTGGAAGACGTCAGAAGGGAACATTTACACCTGTAGACCCAGAGGCTCTCTGAGATCACCTGATCCCTCCTACAAAGCAAGCAGTCCCAGGGAGAGAGAGACGAGGTTCCAGATGGTTAGGGTTGCCAACGCAGGGCTCTCTGTTCCTACATGTCACCGGGCCCACGGAGAGGTGGAAGGAGACCTGTCCCAGGGCAGGTGGGCCTCAGGATCTTGGCTAAGGTCTGCGCGCGCTTAAACTGTTGTCTGTACTTTGCTTTCATCATAAAGTCGCTTTTTCTTTCACTGCCTGAGATGTGGCTGTTCACCGTGTCATTGCAAGCCCCCTGTTCATCCAGTAGCGAGTGTCCGGCTGCCAGTGCCCAGAGATGTGGGTTCTGCGTGGTGGGTGGCTCAGCTTCAGAGTTAACAATCGTGCGTGTATGCATGCGGTGGGGGTGGGGGAGGACCCACAGCATTGTGGGTGCGAAGTTCAGCTAGAGTGTCGTGGGCTTACGGGTCACGGGTGTAGACTACAATTCCCGAGGTGCCCTGCGCCCAGGGATAATGTGCGCGCGCAGCCCCCTGGGAATAGTAGTTCCGGCCGCGTGGCTGTGAGTCGTCACCGACTGGCCAGGAACTCGCCTTCCCGGCAACCTGCCTAGCGGGGCGGGGCGCTTCGACCGGTTTGGCAGGGCGGGCACCTAGCGAAGATGGTGGTGCGCGCGGCGTGTGGCTCCCGTCGCCTGCCCAAGTCTCAGCTCAGCGCACCAGCCAGCGTTTCGCTGGTCTGGAGCCCCAGCCCGCCGGGTCCCTGACCCTGCGCCCCCTCGCGACCGATTCCCGGTATGCCCCGCGCTCATAAGGGCAGCGCGCCCCGCAAGGGCGGCCAGCGCCGCAGAGGCGGTAAGTGTGGACACGGGGCAACTGCTAAACGGCGAGCGAAGGACTTTCCGTGGGTCCCCGTCGGTGTCCCTGAAGGTCCTGGATGGGAGTTCCTGCCTGGATCAGCTTGGCGCCGCTTCCCGTAACTACCCCGCGCACGTGCCCCAGCAGACAGCGGCCACGTGTGCGCACAACTTAAGCATGCTCGCTGCTCGCGGGTCTGGAGCCAGCGCTCCTGACCCTAACGCGGTGGGCACCTCCTGGACTCGGTTTCCCCAAGGCTCCCTCGCCCCAGTTGTCTGCTTTGGCAGGCAAACCCCTAGGACAGAGTGGGAAGCTCGCCCCCTCCCCGATCCCTAATTCTTTCTCGGACTGGACCGGGAGGTTGCTGGGAAGCCTGGGGAGAACTGAAGGGAGAGGGTGACAGGGAAACTACAGGATATCCGCCTTGGTGGCCCTGGCCCCAGGGGGTGGACGGGAGCCCTGGAGCCTGTGACTGCCCTGAGACAGCCCCGAGACTCTTATCAGCGTGCACCAGTGTCCTCTTGTAGTAAACACACGTGTTTACTTTGCAGGGGTGGGGGCTTGCTAGACCCAGCTGAGACCTGGCCGCCGCCCTCATGGGGTTTGGGTGGGGGGACATCTCAGAGGGTAGTGACAGTCCAGAAGGACTGGTTGTGGGGGGAACGCTCTCAGAGTGGTGGTGCCAGCTCCAGACTTGGGAACCAAGGAAGCCTCGGGGTTGGGGCTTCTGGGTGGGTCGTGAGAAGGCGGAGAAGAGGGAACCGTGGGGAGTGAACGAGCTGTGCAGACGCCTGGCACCTGGAAGGATCACGACACGGACAGAGGAGGGAAGGCTGGGCTGCCTCCGCTGGCAGGGCAGTGAGGAGAGAGATGAGTGGAGGCCTCTGTGGGTGCTGAACTTTGTCCGGCAGGCACACGGAGCTGGTAGTTCCTGAGACATAGGACCAGCCTGGTGGCCAGAAGCCATTTTGGGCTCAGCTGTGGCAGCCGCCCCAGCCGAAGCAGAAGTCACGCACGGCAGCGTTCAGTTCCGCCGAGCCTGACACTAGCCCGTGCTGGTGGATTTTCAGGGCCGTCGAGGCCACTCCCCAGGGGCAGGAGGAAGCTTTGTGCTGTTCCACTCAGGGCTGAAGGCCTGGGGTGGGCCGAGGGGGCTCAGAAAACAGTAGGCTTGAGGCCTGGGGCGTCCACCCCCGTCCACTGGGAACTAGGCCTCTGCCCCCAGGGCGGACGGGTGACCTGGTGACCTTGTCGTTCCGCAGAAGAGCCATAACTAGTCTTGTATTTAGTCACTGTTCACTTGCCCTACCCCAAGAGGTGCTATTCTCTGTTCTGCAAAGAAACCGAGGCTTTGAAGGCTAGGCGCCCGGCTGACTGTCCCCCTGTTAAGATGTGTGCAGCTGGGGTAGGAGCCCTGGGTCTGTCTGACTCTGTGACCTGAGTCTCTGACTCTTGCCCTGGCTGTTGGAGGCATAATCTGGGCGGTGGCTGAGCTACCCCGGGATCTGCTGGGTGTGCTCCCTCTTCAGCCTGGGCGACAGGTCTGCGTGGGGCCCCCACAGCCCCTTCTGCCTCTGCCTGGCTCTCGGTCTCCCCCTTAAAGCTCCGGTCTCGGGAAGGCGCCGTTCACCAAGCCTGCCAGGTTCTGCCGGGCTGGGCCCGGTGCCACATGCTCTCCGACACGTAGGCCTTGTTCCCCCTCTCGTGCTTCCTGGCTCAGCGTTCTCTGCATCAGCCCGTGTGCCTCCCGCGTCCGCCTTGGTTTCCTCGTCTCTGGGAGGGGCAGCATCTGTCCGGTGGGGCCGTGAGGCTGGGTGAGGTGCCTCCAGCCGTCACTCCTCAATGGAGGCAGGCCATGTGCCCCGTTCCGCCCCCCCCCAGGTGCCCGGAGCAGCAGTGCCCAAGCCGACTCAGGCTCCAGTGACGATGAGGCAGCCAGCGAGGCCCGCAGCACCACCAGTGACTGCCCCAGCCTTCTCAGCACCGTGGCCGAGGATAGCCCCGGTGAGAGCGGTTTGGCAGGGACTCAGCGGGGGCTCTGTGGGCCAGGGCACGGAGCAGGGCTGACCGGCTGGCCTTGCAGGGGGGGATGCCGTGGATGAGCAGGGCCAGCAGGAGGACCTTGAGGAGAAGTTGAAGGAGTATGTGGATTGCCTCACAGATAAGAGGTACCCCTGACCGCCAGCTAACCCCTGCACCCCTGTCCCTGCTCAGCCCGCACCAGACGTGACCCAGGTCAGGCTGGCTCACAGGACACCCTCCTCTTCATCCCCCAGTGCCAAGACCCGGCAAGGTGCTCTTGAGAACTTGCGCCTGGTCCTGGCGTCCCGCCTGCTGCCCGACTTCCTGCTGGAGCGCAGCCTCACGCTGGCCGACGCCTTGGAAAAGTGCCTCAAGAAAGGTTGGCCGAGGGACACGTGGGGGACCTGCAGTGGCCGGCGGCTGGCCGTTGCTCGCCGGCTGACTGGAAGGCATCCCCGCAGGGAAGGGCGAGGAGCAGGCCCTGGCCGCCGCCGTGCTGGGCCTGCTCTGCGTGCAGCTGGGCCCTGGCCCCAAGGGCGAGGAGCTGTTCCACGGCCTGCAGCCCCTCCTGGTCTCCGTGCTCAGTGACAGCACAGCCAGCCCCGCTGCCCGGCTCCAGGTGAGTGCTCCGTGCTCCGTGCTTCGTGCCGCCCTCCCCTCTCCCAGTCCCTAAGCAGGGAGGCGGGTCCCACCGCCTCCAGGCTCCCTTGCTCTGACGGTCAGCCCCCATGGCATGGCGGGGAGCCAAGGCTCGGCCTCTGACCGTGGCCTGGCCTTGTCCTCCCAACAGTGTGCTTCCGCTCTGGGCTTGGGCTGCTACGTGGCTGCTGCCGATGTCCAGGTAAGTGGCCTTTGGGCACAGGTAGTACAGCACCTAGGCCCTAGCTCTGCCCCTGAGCCCCCCACCTGCCTCCCTGTGCCCCTAGGACCTGCTCTTCTGCCTCACCTGCTTGGAAGGCATCTTCAGCCAGTCCTGCAGCGTGGACGGCTGCACAGCGCCTGCCAGCCTGCACGGCCTGTTCTGCGCTGCCCTGAAAGCCTGGGCACTGCTGCTCACCATCTGCCCCAGCACCCACGTCAGTGACATCCTTGACAGGTAGGGGTGACTGCCACGGGGGACGGGAAGGGGGGAGCGGTGAAGGGGCCCCCAGCCCACACACGTAGCTCAGCGTGGCCCCTCCCCAGGCAGCTGCCTCGGCTACCCCAGCTCTTGTCCAGTGAGACTGTGAACCTGCGGATCGCTGCCGGCGAGACCATCGCGCTGCTTTTTGAGCTCGCCCGGGACCTTGAGGTGTGAGGGGGCGGTGCCTGCTGACCCCATGTGCCCATCCCAGGCTGGATGCAGGGGGTGCCCAGGAAACAGGGCAGCCTTGGGTCATTGTACATGGAAGTAGCCCCAGTATAGACGCAGGTGCCGGGGGCTGTGTAGGGGCCCCTGAGCTGGCGGTGGGGGGGGTTGTCTCACCAAGGCAATGACTGAGAAGGGATTCCAGGGGGTCAGGCAGAGGAGAAAATGACTTCCTCAGTGAAAGGACGGGCTGGGGCCACCCCGCGCCGAGAGCCGGCAGGGCTCACGAGGCCCCCGCCACCCCCGCCGCAGGAGGACTTTCTCTACGAGGACATGGACGCCCTCTGCGGCATCCTGCGCACCCTGGCCACCGACAGCAACAAGTACCGTGCCAAAGCCGACCGCCGGCGTCAGCGCTGCACGTTCCGGGCCGTGCTGCACTCCGTGGAGGTGCGTGTGAGAACGCCCGTGCCCTGGCCAGAGCGTGTCCCCGGGCACAGCCGCCAAGCCCGGTTCTGTGGGCCCCTCTGCTCCGCAGGGCAGCGAGTGTGAGGAAGAGACGGTCCGCTTCGGCCTCGAGGTGCTCTACGTCGACAGCTGGGCCCGGCGCCGGGTTTACGCCGCCTTTAAGGACGTGCTGGGGTCGGGCATGCACCACCACCTCCAGGTGGGGAGGCCGGCAGGGTGGGGCCCCGCTCAGGTGCTTCCGACCGGCCTGGGCTCACTGTCCCCTCTGTCCCCCCAGAACAACGAGCTGCTCCGCGACATCTTTGACCTGGGCCCCGTGCTGGTGCTGGACGCCGCGGCCCTGAAGGCCTGCAAGCTGTCCCGGTTTGAGAAGGTCGGCACCCTCGGGCGCCCGTGTTCCCCTCCGCACCGCCGCCCAGGCCTCCCCTCCCCGCCCCGCCCCCCAGCTCACCGCTCTCTGCCCCCGTTCCAGCACCTGTACAACGCCGCGGCCTTCAAAGCGCGGACCAAGGCGCGGAGCCGAGTGCGGGACAAGCGGGCGGACGTCCTGTGAGGCCCGGCCCGCCGAAGAGGAGCCTGCCCCCACCCTCGCCCGTGTTTTTAACAGGAGACAGTGCACTGGTGCCTGCCAGAGATTGTCGCTTTATTTTTTTAATGACTAAACCAAAAACAGACCTGGGGGGGGGGGTGGCTGGAGGCCAGACCACGCGGCATCCCGGCTCTCCGCCCCCGCACTCGGCCACTGTGGTCTCCCTCCGCCTGCCCGCCTGCCCGTCTCAGTGCGGCGGGCAGCAGGGGGCTCCGGACTCCTTTCTCAGGCCTCGCTCCCCAGGGATGAACCACTTCCTTGGGGGGGGGGGTGACATCTGGACAAATGTCACAACAGGTGGGGAGGGGAGGCTACCTGGAATGGATTTCTGTGCTAATTTTTAAAGAATATTAAGAGAGAATTAAACTGAATACTCAGCCTTCTGTGGCCCTGGCTCCTGGGTGTCCCTGCCTGCGCTTTCGCCCCGCACCCCACCCGGAGCTCGGGCCCCGTTCGTTCTTCCCAGTGCCGTCTCACCCTTGCCCTCCCAGAGTCTCCCCAGATGGCCCTCCTCTAATCACGGTCTGGCCCGTCTTCGAGAGCTGAGGCTGCACCCCCCCGCCAGGAGGCCTGGCAAAGCTTGGGTGACGGGAGGGGCAGATATTTCTAGACTTCTGAGCCGCTATCTGGGGGATGCCAAAGAGGGCAGGCAGGCCACAGGAGGGCCTGGGAGGCTGGTGTCGCTTCCTCCTGACCTTGGGCCACCCAAAGCAGAGCCTTGGCACCAGGAGGCTTGGCCAGGCCTGGCCCGAGGACGCCAGGAGAAGCAGGCAGCTGTGGAGTCAGGTCAGGTTGTCACACACAACCTCACCAAGGAAGTAGTGTGGAGCGGCAAGGGGAGGGGGGGAACCTGTCAGCTGCCACTTTATTCCTCCCCCACGCCGCCCCCCCCCCCAGACTCCGGGTCCAAGCGGCAACTCAGCTGGGTGCTCGGGCCTCGCTGGAGTTGAGCCTCCGCAGCTGGCTGAGGCTGGCCAGCCGGAGTCTGAGCAGCGTCTCCTCCTGCGTGTGCAGTGTGTGCGCCAGCGCGCGTAGGGACTCGCTCTGCAGCACTGCGGACAGGCAGCGGGGGTGGGGGTTATCAGGCCCGGTGCGGCCGGCCCAGCTCAGCGCCTCAGGGTGCCGTGAGCACCCACCCCGCCCTGCACCGCCTGGGCCTCTGCAGTCGCTCCCTGCAGCCACACCAGGGCCTCCCAGTCCCGCCTCTGCCCTTGGTTCCCCCTGGCTTCTGCGCCCCCATACCACTCAAGTAGACAGCCACGACGGCCAGCGCCAGGCAGGTGAACACCAGCAGCGCGAGCAGCAGCAGGAAGCCCCCACGGCTGTGCAGGGGGCTGCAGCCAGGCTGGGCGCACAGTGACGGGGGTAGGATGCCCAGCAGCTCGTCCCACGGCTGTGCCTCCTCGGCCAGGTAGGAGCGCAGCGAGCCTGTGGGGCACGTGGGGCATCAGGGCAGCACTGGGCGCGCTGGCTTTCCTCCCCTCTCCCCATGCCTCCGCCCGCTCCCCTGCCCCCCTCACCTCCTATGTGTAGGTCGCTGATGGAATCCACGTGGTGCAGGCGCACCTCCTGCACGTGGTTGGGGGCTAGTGGTGCCCTGTTCCTCTGGCTCAACGGCGCCGTGGTGTCTGTGGGGGCAGCACAGAGTGGGTTCAACCAGCGGGTCACCCCCTCTCTTTTTAGGTGGCTCACGGAGGCAGCATGGGCTCAGAGGAGATAGGGACGGGGCATCTCAGGGATGACCCTTGATTTTGGAGCCAGGACGAGCCCGGAGCCCTACAGGCCTGATTCACCCACAGCAGCAGGAGGGTCACTGGGCTCATTCCCATTTGTTCCCATGCAAGCATCTCAGGGGCTTTCAGGTAGGTATTCCTGGGCTTGCTCATTTCTACAGAAGAGTTTATCAGCGCTGGAGGAGTAAACCTACGGCTGTGGCGTTCATCCCTGCCCCTTCCGCTGTCAGCTTTCCTTGTAGCCCCAGGGAGGGAGTGGGCCGTCGGACTCGCCCAGTGCTTTCCGTTCCCCAGCGGAAGCAGCGCGGCGCTAGCCAGCGGCGCCCTCCCCTCCGGGCCTTGGCTCTGTTCTGTAGCACTCTCAGCGTGGTGCTGCTGTTCACTCTGAATCACAGCGGGGGACCTGCCTTTGTTATCAGACGACTCACTCACACTCTTTCTCTCTTTCTCTCTCTCCCCTCTGAGGTCTTCCTCCAGGCCGCCCTTTGAAGCTGCCTGGGCATTTAGGTTGTTTCCAGTTCCCTTCGGAAATTAATAACCCCTGGAAAAGGACACGCATCGTTGAGTGTGGAGGTTCCTCTCAATTTCACAATAGTTAATGAGGACAGATTCCCAGAAGCAGAGTTGCTAGATCAAAAAGCAGGGACTTTTTTTTTTTTTAACCTGACCGCATAGCTTGGTTGGTTAGAGCATCGTCCAGACCCACCAATGGCACAGGTTTGATCTCTGGCCAGGGCACATGTAAGAAGCAACCGATGGCCCCAGCTGGTGCGGCTCAGTGGCCTGAGCGCCTGCCTGGGAACCAAAGGGTCGCCGGGTCGATTCCCAGTCAGGGCACGTGCCTGGGTTGTGGGCCAGGTCCCCAGTGGGGGCCATGCTAGAGGCAACCAACTGATGTTTCTCTCCCTCTCTGCCTTCCTTCCAATCTATCTAAAAATAAATAAATAAAACCTTTTGAAAAAAGGACTTAAAGTTCCATTTATTTTTATTTTACTTTCAGAGAGGGGAAGGGAGGGAGAAAGAGATGAAAATACCAATGTGTGAAAGACACATCAAATCAATCAGTTGCTTTTCACACACCCCCAACTGGAACCTGGCCCACAACCCAGGCATGTGTCCTGACCAGGAACCGAACCAGCAACCTTCTGGTTTGCAGGCTGGTGCTCAATCCACTGAGCTACACCAGCCAGGGCTGTGAGAATGTGTCTTGAAAGGGGCTAAAGTGAGCGGGCTCTCTGGGCCTGTCCCTCTGAACAGTAACTCCACCTCCACGCTCTGTTCGTGTTACGTCTGGGCACTGTGTTGGGGGTCAGCTGAATTCCCTCTTGGCTTTGCCTGCAGTTTCTAAGTCAGACTCAGATTCTGTTTGCTCCCAGGAGAAACACACAGTAAATCTCATTGTGAAGACCCCAAAAGGAGATAACCTTACCCCCAACACCGTCGCCAGGGTCTGGGCCACTCCTACAGTGTAAATATTTTTTAATGAAATGTATCGAGGTGACATTAGTTAATAAGATTACATAGGTTTCAAGTGTCCATTTCTATGACACACCATCTGTGTGTTGCATCGTGTGCCCACCACCCAAAGCTAAATCTTCTTCCGTCACCATATATCCGACCCCCCGCCTAAAGTATTGAAAATTTGATGCGGAGAGATGACCAGGTGAGCCAGAATGGAGCCGAGGAGCAGCTGGTCCTGCATCCCGGCCAGCAGCTGCACCTGCAGCTTCCTGGGTCCCCGCTCCGGCCCCTCCGAGCCTCCAGACTTCTTGCTTGTGGAAGCCTCCCCACCTCCAGCCCCTGGGCCGTGTGCAAGCTCTGCCCGCCCCCAGCCCAGGTTCCTCCCTGAAGGAAGAGCTGACCTGGCCAGGCAGCTGCCTGACTCACACCCACTTGGCCACAGCAGGGTGGTTCCTTGGCAGCCCCTGCTGTCCCCTGCAGGGGGAACGGGCAGGGCCTGAGGTGGGGGGCTCCAGGCGTGCTAGGCCTCCCTCCATCTACAGGGTGCAGGTCCCATTACTCGAGCTGGTGACTGATGAGTGACTACTTAAGAAAGTGAGATCAGTGGGATGGGGCGGGTTGCTCCCTGGCCCACAGGGTCATAATTCTGGGGCCTTGCCCCACCTCGGTCATCTCCTACCTTCTTGGGTCTCCTCAGGCATGATGCGGGTGGGCAGTCCGCGGGCCCAACGTCGGTGCCCAGCCGCAGGACAGGATGGAGGCAGTGACGGGCGGCCCCTCCGAGAAACTGGGGAAGGCCTGGCCGCCTCCCAGCCTGGGCCCAAAATAGGCCTGTGCTCAGCCCGCTGGGCTATATTTAGAGGGGACAGCTCTCAGCCATGGGAAGGGGCGGAGTGACCCACATGGGCCAGGCTGGACTCTGGACCTGGCGATGGAAGCCAGGCGAGGGCATGCCTCCACTGGGGCGCCTGCCAGGGCTTTCCTGGGGAGCTCCGCCGCCTCCCACGTACACACGGGCCTCCGTATCTTCAGACAAGCTGCGTCCGGCACACCTGCAGCGGTGCCCCAAGGGGCAGCCCAGACGTGCAGGGCCCTGTGCGTCTCTGCTTCTCCTCGCCCCAAGACCCCTGCCTGCAGCCGGGTTGCCTTGCCATGCAAATGTGGAGTGAGCACCCGCCACCGTGTGACCCACTGGCACCAGGAATCGAGGGTGACGGACCCCTGGAGGCCAGTGCCCTGGGGGCTCAGGGGGCCCTAAAAGGGGGCAGATACTCCTGGGCATGCAGGCGCCGGTGCTGGTCCGTGGGTGGACCTTGGCTGAAGGCGGGTACTTCTGTTACTAACCCTACAACCAGGTGTAAAGGATGGCCCTCCCCGACCTCAGTTTTCTCATCTGTGAGTCGGAGTAACTGTGGTTCCTCCCGGCCACGGCACTCGGGAAACTGGAAATACAGCCACGTGTCTGAAGCACTCGGCACAACGGAGTTCCGGTCCTCCCTCCTTTTCACAGGCGTGCACGGGTCACACGGGGCTGTGTGAGGGTGCAGGGCCCCACTCCCCCTTGGGGGGAGGATGCGGTCCGGCTCAGGGCCCAGCCTCTGCTGTTAGGGCCCTGCGTCCCTTCTTCCCAGGTGGGACAGAGCAAGACAGTGGGGGCTCGGCCTCCCAGCACCTCCTAAACCCATCACTCCTCCACATTTCCCAAACCCAGGACGCGGCTGCTCAGGACCTCCGCACGGACTCTCCCTCCTGGGGTGTTCTGCCCCTGGATACTCCCATGGCTGGCTCCTCGTCCCTGAGCTCCAGCGCCAACCCTTTATGAGGCCTTCTGCTCACACTCTTCTCCACTTCATCCAGTTTTATTTTCCTCAGAGCACTTGGCCCGGAAATTATATTACTCGAAACACACTGTGCACGCCAGCATCCCCTCGGGCCCTGTCAGGCACACTCAGCCACACGGTCACCACCTGCAACCTTCACCACATCATCCTCAGGCAGAAGAAACTGAGGTCCCAAGACCGCCAGGAAGGGGGCCAGGGCCACCTCGTGAGGGCTGGGACCAGCGGTTGTCTGCTGGGGCCGTTCCGGCTTCGGCTGATAATGTGTTTATTGCATTAGTACAGTGGGCCTGCCCCGCCCCGCCCCCAGCAGCCCGGCCTGTTCACAGCTTCCTGCTCCTTGCCCAGACCAGGAGGTCCTTCTCCCGGGGTGGGCACTCCAGGTACTTCCCTGGCCCACCTTGTTGTCCTGGAGCCCTGCTTCTCTGCCCCCTCCCGATCAGCCGGACCCTGTGCCCGGGCGGCCCCTCCCGGGGCTACATTCAAGGGTTATCTTCTGTTAATAAATAAGCCGGCGAGCCTTCCCCTAGGCCAGGGCCTGTTGGTCGTTGCCTCGGTTGGCCTGGGACGGCAGTGTGCCCGCCCCTCGCTGTCTGTCTCCCAGGGTCTGTCCATCTCTTCTGCAGCCTGTCCTCTTGTGTCCTCCCTAGTCCCGGCGTGGAGATGGCCGAATCACCAGTGTGCTGCGCTGCGCGGCCCCCGCTCAGCACGCGGCTCTGGGGCGTTTGTCCGCCGGTTGCGACCCTTCCTCTGTGACTCTGAAGGTGCTGGGCGCGGCGCCGACTGCGGCCTACACATTCGCAGGGAGCTCGCGCCACCGCCACCCGGCTCCACCAGCTGCAGGAAGTCCCGGTACCAGAGCTTGGGGCCCGGTGGCACAAGGGGCGCATCCTCGGTTCGCGCCAGTCTTTCGGCCTGCGCAGCACTCAACACGTGCAACACCAGACGACGCAGCGGCTGCGAAAAGCCCTGCTCCACCGCGGCGCACAGGTACGCGCCCGAGTCCCCGCGCTGCAGGCCGCGCAGCAGCAGCCCCCGCGCCGTGCGCTCAGCGCGCTCCACCGCCGGCACCTGCGGGCCAAACCAGCGTGAGGCGGGGCGGCAGGGTGGGAAACACGGCTCCCTGCCCCCGCGTGGGACTGGAGAGGCAAACGTCCACGGAGGCGTGGCCGAGTGGGAGAGGAAAAAGGGCGCACACAGGTGCGCATCTGAAGGCTGGGTGCAAGAAAGCCGGTGGTCAAGTGGGGAGACCCAAAAAGGGTGGCGGTTCACCTGAACGTGGGGAGCAGGTCAGGGCTCTCAATCAATAGATGGGGTGAGGGCGGGGCTTTTGTCGTGTGTGTGTGTGTGTGTGTGAGAGAGAGAGAGAGAGAGTGAGAAGAGAGAAGAGAGATGCAGGAGCGGTGCGGCCAGGAGCCTAGTTAGCCGGCATGGGGCCTCACCAGCAAAAGGGACCGGATGTAAGGGGTCGGAGTGGGCGGAGCCTCGCTGTGCGGGGCTGGGCCTCATCTAGTGCGGAACAGGCCAGGGACTCATTAGTCACGGCCGTAGGGGCAGGACTCCCTTCCCGCCAAGCTCACCGGGGTGCTGGTCCCCTCCCCTGCGCGCTGGAAGGTCCACTCCACGTGCGCCTGCAGCGAGCGCGGCTCACACTCCAGGAAGGTGCTGCCTCCCTCCACACCGAACACCTTCCGCTCCAGCAGCGCGGGCTGGGACGAGTCTGGGAGCAAGGGAATGTCAGATCCAGGCCCGGCAGGGCAGGGCGGGGCATCTTCAAGGGATGAGAGGCGGGGGCAGCTGGGCACTCACCCCCAGAGCACAGCGTTCTGGGGTCGCCGTTCTTTATGTCTTGCCGCCGGAACCTCCTAGTAGGGGGGATATTGGAGCCTCCCTGAGCCCTTTTTCGTTTCACCAAGGACTCCCTCCCGGCGACCCCCCTTGCCGGCCCCTGCCCACCTCTTGGCACTGGGCTGGAAGCGAGTGCACGTGGCTCCGTCCCAGGCGCAGTAGGGGTCCCGCGCCAGGCAGCACTCGGAGCAGGCGCGGCCATGGGCGGCGCAGCGGTACAAAGGGATCTGGGCCACCGCACTCCGCGAGGCTACGTACAGCTGGTGCTAGGGGGCAAGAGGGGCTCCAGACTGACCGAAGGAGGCCCTGTGCCCACCTCCCATGGGTCAGGGGTCCCTCTCCGACTTGACAGAGGAGAACACCGAGGTCTCAGGTGACACAGCCTAACGAAGGCAGCAGAGTCTATACCTGGACCCAGGGTTCAAGCTACCAAGAGAGGTATGGGGCGGGGGGCGCCCAGACACCGGCTTGGTCCGTTCCACCCCTGAGACTTCTGGCCACTTACCCTCTTGGAGGAGATTTGCATGCTGGTGACAGCAGCAGAGTCCTGAGAGAGAGAGAGAGAGAGAGAGAGAGAGAGAGAGAGAGAGAGAGAGGGGTGCTGGGACCAGGGCTGCCTGGCGCGGGGCTGCCCCAGGATGGGTGCTGGGCCTCACCTCGAACACGTGCAGCTCCTCTAGGAGCAGCCCCTCCGCGTTCGGCCTGCCGCCCTTAGGGACCGAGATCACCTTGAGCACCGTGCCGGCGTCTGCACGGGTGAGAGGGGGCGGGTCACTCTTCCTGTTCCTTGACACGGAGGGCCCGGGTGCTCTCCCCCTCAGAGGCCTCCACCCTCAGCGTGGCTGGGTCGGTGGGTTGGACCAATCAGAGCGGCATCCAGGAGACGGGGACACAGCCCAGGCAAAGCGTGGACAGGGGGGCTCGGCCAGGGGAGCTTCTATGACAGGCCACAGCTCCTGGCCTGGGGGACCCTTGGGCGGTCGGGAGGTCCCTGACCTGTGCCGATGAAGAGGACGTCGTAGTGCCCGTCAGCAGCTGCCACACGGTCTGCAACAACCTGGGTGAAGGTGTACCCGGCCCCCACTTGCAGGAAGAGAGGGCGCCCCCCCACGGGCAGGATGGGATTGTACATGAGGGGGTGGTTCCGGGCGAACTGGATGACGTCATCGGGGAAGTCCTTGGTGGAACTGAAGGTGCCGAAAGTCCTGCTGGGGCACTAGGGGGCGGGGAGGAGGCGGGCGGGGGCGTGGCGTGAGGGTTGGGCGGCAGCGCGCCACAGCAGACGTGGGGAATGGAGTGTGCACGTGGTGGGGGAGGGCTGTGGGGGGTCGGACGGAGCCCAGGCCAGGGGAGCTGCGAGAGGAGACCAAGCTTTGCCCTCAGGAGTCTGAGGAGCAGACGTGGCCTCACTCGGAGGGGCCCTGACTGGTGAAGGCGACTTTTTTCAGCCATAACCAAAGGCAGAAACCACATTTAACCCAGAGGACCCCGAGTTCTCCACCCCTGAGGCTTTCCGTGGGTAGTGGCGGGGGTCCCTTGGCTACTACGCACCATGCCGGGCCGGGGGTAGGGCACGCGGCCCTGGTAGGACACCCACTGGTGCATGGGCCCCTCTTTGTGTGCGAAGGGTCCCAGGAAGGCCCGGCGCACGTCGCTCATGCTGTACACGCACACCGCGGAGCCCTGGAAGACCCCACTGCGGGCGAGAACATGCGTGGAGTGACAGGCCCGGAGGGGCCCAGGCCGCCCCACCCGGCTACCTCCCGCCCCTCACCTGGAAGTGGAGAAGACAGCGTAGAGCAGCGGGGTCCAGCGGTCCCGCGAGGACAGCAGGAACACATCCTCTGTGGGGACGGGGACGGGGACGCGGCCTGGTCGGGGAGGGCGCCCAGCCCCGCAGGCCGGCCAGGCTCCTCCGGGATCCGCGCCCCCGCCCTCCCTCCCCCCACGCCAGCCTCCACTCCCGGCACTCACGGAGCTGGTCAAAGTGCGTGTCGCCCTCGACGCCGGGCACGGAGCACACCAGCCGCGCCTTCAGGAATGTGGTCCACTTGTTGACCAGGCTGCGCTGGCCACCCACATCATTCTGCGGGGCCCATTGGAGGGGATGAGGGTGAGGCCCCAGAGGGCGGCGGGACGGAGCGGGGTCACGCGGAGCGGGGTCACGCAGGGGGCCCTCACCCGACAGATCTGGCCCACGCGGGACACGGACAGGCGCCCCAGCGCCGGCGCCGTCTCCACTGCTGACTCGCGGAAGAAGAAGTAGATCTTGTCGTCATCGGGGTTCTCGCTCTCCGGAATCCAGAAGACCTTAATGAACTTGGGCTCTGGCCACAGGAGAAGGCGTGAAGTCAGGGAGTTCCTGGCCCCGACGCCCCCCTGTCACCCATTGTGAGACCCACGTGCTGCCTCTTCTTTGTCTCACAAGAGCCCACGGAGCAGCATCTGACTGCTCGCAGCTTCTAGGACCAAGTTCAGAAGGTGCTCCGTGCACAGACTCCCAAGGGTCAGGGCCTGCGAGTCAAGAAGCAGCCACCAGAGGGCAGCAGAGACCGCGGCTAACTGGGAACGCAGGCGCCCCATCAGGGGAGCCTTCTCACCTTGCCCCTGACACTTGCCCTGTCCAGAAGGCTAAGAAAGGAGGGACATCGGTGTCCGCTATTACCTTCACTCATGAAGCTTTTTCTCTAGCGGGACGCAGATGCCCCACCCCTGTTTCAAACACTCTGCTGGGTCCAGTCATGGCTTCTCTTGTGAATCTGTTCCCTGGCCCGTTCCTTCCCAGGGCCCTGGCGCTGGCTGTTCCGCTGCCTGGAGCGCCCCACCCCCAGCCCGGCTGGGCTTTGGGACGCAGCTCATGTCTATCCTCAGCGCAGTGGGGGCCTTTCCCCAGCTCTCTCACTGCCGCCACCTGGTCCCCTCCCCTCCCCCATTCTCTCACCGGTCTCTCGGCCGATGGAATTGATTTTATCATTTGTTAGGAGGTCTGTGAGTTCAAAGAGGGCGTGGGCCACACCAGCCTAGTCCCTCGCAGGGCCTGCCACGCCGTAGTGCTTGGCGAGACCAGGCTGCACCCCCTGCTCACTTATT